GAGAGAGAGAGAGAGAGAGAGAGAGAGAGAGAGAGAGATGGGCGACATTGGGATTTGACGACATTTGGGTTCAGACTCAGCATTGGGATTCAGACCTTTGGCGAGGGATTATTTGGGACTGTATTGAAGACTTGGTGTTGACGACATTTCCATCTTCCCCCTCCCCCTCTTCTTCGTCTGTGCATGATCAGGGGACTGACGCATTCTTCCTGTGTGAGTGTCAGCCCCTTCACACCATGAAATGATGATGATGTATGTTTGGTCTGCATGGCAGCTTGATTGATCGGATCAGTGGTATTTGAGCCTTCCGCTGTGCTATCTTGTATCTGGCGAGAAAGATCGGTTCTTGGTCTGGTCTGCACCGTGATGGTATGCAACAGTAGCTGTGTAGGGAGTAGGCTAGGCGCCGAGCGCCGAATAGGAGATAATGCCTGGACACTCATGTTGGTGGTTTCCTTCTTGTCTTTTGAGAATTGTAAATCCGAATTTAGACATCTTACATGATCTTATATGATTTTTTACATGATTTCTCACATGATTTCTTAAAGTTCATCTTAAATCTTATCCGGAAAATCCATTTCCACAAAAGATGTTTCATATCCTCATCGGTTTTCATCTTGGTTGCTATGCATCATCTTATGAATATTTTGCTTGAATTCTTCGCTTACCTTACCTTAAGGAGGGTGTTGTTTGTGGGGCTATGATGGCATGATGGGGGGAAAGAACGCGCTCTGCAGGAAGGGGCTAACCGCAGAGTGGAAATAGGGTAAAGCAGCAGTGGAGATGGTGGCTTCACTGCAGTAAGTCTTACCGGAGTAAAGTTGGATAGGTTTGGAAGGTGGGTGCTCTCAGCTCCTCAGATAGTTTCACCTACTACGATCTCTTACATAAGGAGTGATGGGCTCGGATTTACGTTCCTGGTGTTTACGGTTCTGAGTTCTTGCTCCAAGAGGGCTGCGGGGGAAGAGGTGGGAAGGGGGGGCAATAGAGGGGGGGCTGTGGGTTTCGTTAGCAAGTCTTAGAAGGAAGAGGCTGGGACGACGCAGGCCTGTGCTGGAGTGTTCTACTCTGTGACCCCTAAGGAGCATGAGGTCTGGGGAGTTCTGTCAACGACAGAACCAGCACTTTCGACGTGGCTGTAGCTGGGGTGATATCCCTGTTACCAGTGGGGCGTGCGGCTATGGGGAGTTGCCGAGGGTGGAAGGCACTCCTTACCGTCTACACTAGGTTGGTCGGTACCGGGGCGTGGTGGTGCCCTGTAACTCCAGCATGGAAGGGTATGAGACCATTCGGGTGTTGGATCGAGGCCTGAATACGAGACCTGGGGTTTCTCCAGTTGTTGTGGGGAGGGAGGGGTTGGGTTGTTTGTGCAGTTCCTATTCAAAATTTTCTGCTGGAGGGTCCTGAGAGTGCTTACGGTTCCGGGACTTCTAGTATCCTCCTCTGGGTTACTTTGACACTGCTATGCTTGGTGATCTATGGCTGTTCGATGCCAGAACCACGCTGGCCGGTGCTGGGGTATTGCCCTGTAATCTGTCGATACAGGAGCGTGAGGCTCAGTGGAGTAATCTGGGGATGCTTTGGGGTGGGCATCTTATGGGACAGTTAAAGATTGCTGTAGAGACGACGCTGGCCGGAGCTGGGGCGAGTTGTGTTGCCCTGTAACTCAGCAGAAGTGGGGGCGTGAGGCCTGGAAGAGCTCGGCAGGGAGTAAGGCAATGTTGAGGGATTCTGGAAGAGTGGGTTAGGGAGTCCGAGGTTCTTGGGATCCCGACGGTTTATTTTTCATATCTTATCCTTTTTGTGCTATATCTAGCTTTTTGGTTCTCTGGTTGTGTGGTAGCTTCTAGTCTTCTAATTTATCTGGGATAGAGAAGTTCAGAGAGGGTTGAGCCTGGACTGATATCCGTAGAGTTGCTCAATTCTGTGCCTCTGGTTTGCTGATGCTAGAACGACGCTGACCGGAGCTGGGGTGCTGCCCTGTGACCTGCAATCTGCAGGAGTGTGAGGTCTTGTAGAGAGATCTGGGTCTTGTCGAGGGAGGAAGGCAATTCAGTGGTAAATCGGGGGGGGCTGCTAGGTGGCGAGAAAAGAGGGGCTATGGGTGATGTTGGTTTGGGTAGGATTGTCTCTGAGGTTTAAAATCCTGGTTCATGGAAGGCTAGGAGTTTAAGCTAGGTCAGGAAGCCAAAATAGCTGATAGCATAGCTTACTACACAAGCATAAGGTCACTAGTATCAACATCATAATCATCTTCACTTTCATAAGAGGGACGCTGAGCCCGGTTCTCAGCTGTTTTCGGTGTGCTCTCCGGGTAGACTGTGAGGACCGCGGCCTCAAACATTTTCATTGACAATATCAGCCTTGGACACTGGGCCCGGATTTAAATAAAAAATAATAATAATAATAATAATA